GCAAAATTAGCCGAACCTCGTAAATTCTGGTGTTCCCTTTATTGTTGTTTTATTGTCTTATTTATTATTTGGTGGCTGTCATAATTTTTGGTATAGTAGTTGTGACTTATTCACACTATATACATTTGGCTTCCGCAATATAGACTACGTACAATAGACTCTTGTGGTGTCCTTCTCCGGACCCCGCGCATAGCTAGAGCTTAGTACACTGGGCCGCCCTTTCTGTCAATGTTAGGTCCATCGATCACTATTATTGTATTTCTCAATGTTGAGCACCCGTGTTATGTTATCCATGCTCTGGTTGTTCAGCCTTGGGAGTGTGGGGGAGTGTAATTAAGTCTCACATTGGTTGAAGGAATGAGTTGTGGTCTCCCTATATTGTTTTGAGCAATCCTCCTCTCATGAGCTCGATTTTGGGGTTGAGTGAGGCTCAATGTCCGTAACCATTTATTCACAATCCATGAATAGTAGTTAATTATTTATATTTTTAACAGTTTAAGGGTTTGACTTTTTTTTTTCTTCTTACAGAGTTGGGATTGATTTGCCATCAACAGAAGTAAGATATGAGCATCTAAATATTGTAGCAGATGCATATGTAGGAAGTAGAGCTTTGCCTACATTTACCAACTTCATCACTGATTTTATTGAGGTAAAAATCCAAAGAATATCTTGATTTTTCAATTTTGAATCTCTTTTTAGTTAAAAGGGTATTTGATTTTTTTTTTTTTTTTTGGTTTTTTTTTTTTTTTTTTTTTGGCTTTTTTTGTCCATAGGCAATGTGGAACTCTCTTCATATTCTACCAAATCGAAAGAGGCAACTCACTATTCTAAATGATGTGAGTGGTATCATTAAGCCTTGTAGATTGACTTTGCTTTTAGGACCTCCAGGTTCTGGTAAAACTACACTTTTATTAGCTTTGGCCGGAAAGCTTGACCCTTCCCTTAAGGTAAGACCATTAGTTGTACATATCAAATAGATTTAAGTTATATATAGTGACAATGTAAAGATTTGTTACTTTTTCTTCGATTTTCAGTATTATCTGTTGTTTCCCTTGCTTTGGTTATGTTACTGCTTTATTATTTTCTTGTTATTATTCTTGTCTTTAGTATTTTCAACATGATCTCTTCATTATTGTTCTCTTGTTGAAACCTGCTGAAAATGTTTTTCTTGAGCTGAGAGTCTTTCAGAAACAACATCTCTACCTCCACAAGGTACTTTCTTCCTTCCCTTCCACACGGAAAGATCATGGAGTTTTCCCAGCATACATATCCGGGGGTGCAACAGTTTAGTAGGCAAGGATCGGAACGGGCATATCCCAGGTCGAATTCCTTATCTATTCGTTTCAGCCTTAGAGGATTGAGCTTTTTGAGAGCACCACACTGCGATAGAATGGCGGATTTCAATAATGAAGAGAAAAGTCTAGTTCTCTTTTTATTTGAAAGGGGAATGGATGTCTTATTGAGAGTGATTACGGAAGAACCTTTTCATAGAGGAGAGCGATAGGCCGGTTTGAAGAGCAAGCTTGAAAATAAATGGAGAGGTCATTCATTCATAACAGAAAAAGCGCTCACTCACTCATATCTGAAAAGTTCATTCTTTGATTGCTCTGCTCCCCCCCTCAAAAAAAGAGAAACTTCATTTCTTCCTCCTTCCCTGTACGAGTAGTGAAGAAGTATAGAGCACTTTAGTTGGTTGTTGACCAACGGAAAGCATGGGAGAAAAAAAGGAAGAATTTACGCAATTTCTTTTCTAAGAAAGAGATCATAGTGATTGATGGCTCTTTCAATCCGCTGAAATGGAACGCTCTGGCGTGTACCAAAATGGAGAATTTGGGTCAGATTTATAAGCTTACGATCACGGAACAAACTTGGTTGACGAACATAGTTTATGCGGAGTAAGGTCTGCATATACTTTACCCTCCCCAGACCCCATAATATGATATCACAATGGGGTATGTTTTTGTTGTAATGATTTGTTACACTACCTATGTAGTTCAATTTGTGATAGTAGATTAGTTACCAGTTTTATCAAGTTCTCAATTAATACTTATTAAAGAGATTTATGTATAATTACCTTATAAATAACATAATTGTTTAAGTAATTTTTTAACCGTCAATATGTAGAACTTAAACTCCAAAATAAACATATGTAAATTAAACAATGAAATGGTTCTAAAAGTTAGAAGCAGCTAAAGTTTTCTGTTCTTTTTATTTGGTGTGGAAATCAGGTTACTGGGAAAGTAACCTACAATGGACATGAAATGAATGAATTTGTGCCACAAAGAACTGCTGCTTATATTAGTCAGTTTGATTTGCACATTGGAGAAATGACTGTGAGAGAAACCTTAGAATTCTCTGCCAGATGCCAGGGAGTTGGCTCTCGTTATGGTTAGCATTTGTTCAGATTTTTTCTTCAATAAAAAAATCATCTTATGTTGAAATTAACTAACATAGATTTATTGGTTCTTGAAATTTTTTTGCAGAGATGTTGGATGAACTGGCAAGAAGAGAGAAAGCAGCTAATATCAACCCAGATCCTGATATTGATATCTTCATGAAGGTAAGAGTAGTAGTGAACCATGTTTACATGTTAATAAGGGCATCCCAGTGCACTAAGCTCCCGCTATGCTCCGGGGAAGGGCTGCATTACTGCAAAAGGTTGTTTCCACGGATCGAACCCGTGACCTCCTGGTCACATGGCAGCAACTTTACTAGTTATACCAAGGTTCCCCTTCATGTTTACATGTTAATATATAAGTTATTTCTCAATAACAGCAAGTAAATTGAACCAAGTAAGAAAATTTGCTTTGCTCAAGGGAATTGTTTTATGACCTTCATTGTTTGGTATAATGTAGGTAGCAGCAACAGAGGGACAAGAAGCCAATTTTGTTACAGATTATGTTCTTAAGGTAGCATTACATATGTCAAAAAAGTTCTACAAATTTTCGAGAATGAAAAGCCAGAGGAAATTTGATAACTAAGTGTTTTTTGTATTTTGTCACCAGCTATTGGGGCTGGACATTTGTGCAGATAGTATGGTAGGAGATGAAATGATAAGGGGTATCTCAGGAGGACAAAAGAAGTGTGTGACGACAGGTGAAATGTTTGTTGGACCGTCAAAGGCACTTTTCATGGATGAAATCTCAACTGGATTGGATAGTTCCACGACTTATTCCATTGTGAATTCTCTAAGACATTCTGTGCAAATCTTGAATGGAACTACTTTGGTATCTCTCCTGCAGCCAGCACCCGAGACCTACGACTTGTTTGATGATATTATTCTGTTATCAGATGGGCAAATTGTCTATCAGGGTCCTCGTGAAGACGTCCTTGGCTTCTTTGAGTCCATGGGTTTCAAATGCCCTGATAGAAAAGGCGTGGCCGACTTCTTGCAAGAAGTATATATGTCTTATAATAAGTTCCAACTGTTAAATTGACAAGCATTGATGTACTTCTATTTTGTAATGGTTTTGAATTTCTTGGAGGTGACATCAAAGAAGGATCAACAACAATATTGGGTGAGGACGGATGAGCCTTACAGGTTTATCACTTCAAAAGAATTTGCTGAGCCATCCTGCTGCTTTGGCAACTCAAAAGTACGGTATAGGGAAGAAACAACTCTTAAAGGTCTGCACTGAAAGAGAACTCTTGTTAATGAAGAGGAACTCATTTGTTTACGTCTTCAGGTTCACAAAGGTGACTAATGAGTCTTTTAAAAAATTTAAATTTTCAAGTCTCTGTCATATCAGAAGGAGAGCCTTGGCGTAACTGGTAAAGTTACTGCCATGTGACCAGGGGGTCACGGGTTCGAGGCGTGGAAACAACCTCTTGCAAAAATGCAGTGTAAGGCTGCATACGATAGACCTTGTGGTCCGGCCCTTCCCGACCCCGCACACAGCGGTAGCTTAGAGCACCGTGCTGTC